GAGATGTTTCCAATTTACTCTTCCAGTGTTCGCAACTTTTGCAATATTTAGATTTTACCTCAACATCAACAATTTGTCCAGTAATCCAACCAATTAATGACGTAATTCCAAAAAGAGAAGAAAATCCGCGCCTTCTCCAAGAGCCATCACCGGAAACCGTTATTCCTTGATATTGTCCATTTTCTTCACTCATCTTTTTCTCTTTTTGTGCTGCTTCTTTCATGTTGGCGTTTCTTACTGATGATGTTGCGATCAAAATTACATTTACTAATTTGTCGTAGAAAGATTGGAAAATCGGACGTGGTATTTCCATGAAAGCACAAAACTTGATCAATCCATTTAGTCCAATTCCTAGTAATCGCATTGCCAGAACTATTCTACGATTAATTCATGCATTCTTTATCATTTTACAACTAGGAATTACAACTTCTGGGCCTTTAGGGCAAGTGGCATTAAAAAGTTGTTATAAAAGAATCAAAGGGAAAGTTTAAGATATCGTTGAAAATAAGGTGTTAACCAGTAATTACATACATATAAAATTTCAAATTCAACGGTTTGCTTATACACAAAATAAATGATAAAATGTAAATTTTTGACTCAACTTTGAGAGCTTATAGCTCGAAAACAAAGGAGTTGCGACCCTATGTTTATATAAAAAACTTGTATTATTTTGGCAAGTACTACGTCTTAGTAAAGTTTCCCGATTAAAAACTGAACCACCCTGTATATGTACATACCGGGTGATTCAGACCACCCGTACCAGGGATTTTTCTCAAAAACGCGATTACCTAAGAAGTTGCAATAAAAAATATGATAATAAAATCGTATATGAAGAATCCAATGTACCCGTTTTTATCACGCTAGTAACACCGGAAGTTGGTGGTAATGACGTCAACTTAAAAATTTTCCAAGTTGTCATATGAATTAAGTTTTATCGTAGAATAGATGTTTTAAAAATAAACAACTTCTGCTTTAACTTTAGCTTTAACTTAGACGTTGCATTAAATCTAAGAAGAGTTAAAGCAAAAGTTGTTTATTTTTAAAATATCTATTCCACGGTAAAACTTAATTCATATGACAACTTGGAAAATTTTTAAGTTGATGTCATTACCATCAACTTCCGGTGTTACCACCGTGATAAAAACTGGTGTATTGAATTCTTCATACATGATTTTATTATCATATTTTTTATTGCAACTTCTTATATAATCGCGTTTTTGACAAAAATCCCTGGTACGGGTGGTCTGAATCACCCGGTATACATATACAGGGTGGAATATTTTCGGTGTTGTTTGAAACAGCATTTTATGCTCTTTTTAAAGATATTTTCAGTAAGACCGTTTGCTTTAAAACAAATAAGCTAGAGGGTGATTTTTGAAGAAAAGTTAAATGGAACGGTACTATTTACTTCACAGACCATAAAATTTGCTAAATATTAGTGAAAACCGCATTTTGATATCGCCACCCGTTCTCGAATTAGCAGACTTATTATTAAGATCAAAAATATTCAAATCGGTTGAATGGTCCAGGAGATATTAAATTGTAAACATTTGAAAACGCATTGGCCTCCCCCTCCATTATTATGACAGATATGAGAAATATTGCAAAATAAAAGCGATGCGGTATTATCCAAGCTACTAAATGATGTTGTCAAAGTTATAGCTCATCGTGTAACTTTCTGAGATAGCGGGAATTTTATGTTTCTCTATGGCAGTTACGCCCCCTAGCGGTCGAATTACGAACTTCAAAATAATTTCCAGCTATTTCTCTTGCCCACTTTGCTTATAAGAATTTTTTTCCCAAACCTATAGGCCTCACCGTTGTCGAGATACAGCCGCTGCGTACCCTTAACGGGACACCTGTACAGTGTAGGGTTGTAACGAATGTTTTGGTGATATATACAAGTTCACACATGTCTCTTTTACTCAACTATAATAACCAGAAAATACTGCAGCTTTCAGAAAATGCCTTGTTATGGTGTTACAACAATAGATTAAAGTATATACAAAAAGCTCATTCTTATAGTTCGTCAATTTTTGTCGGCTCTTCCTGTTTTAGCTTTAAAACTACGCATTTATGATACTAGCACTCACGCAATTGTACAACACCACATGAACAATACTCTTATTAATGCGGATATGGGTTAATAAGCCCAATTTTATCACAACCAGATGCGTCACTTAATGAGGTACTCTCAAACAGCACCACACTTCTGCTGCTCCTTCAGTGTCTTCAAAGAGGAATTTGTTCTTAAAATTCGGCTTTCATTTCTGGATTGATCTTGATGTTCTTAATGTGGCGAGTTTTTTGAATATTCGCACACTTTCAAGTCGACCAATTGGCTTTTTGAACTGCAGATCCTGTCTCCAGAACAAAGCTCTGTGATTATTTGAAACTAGGGACTGTATTGTGCCACACCCTGTATATCTTGGTTCTCTCACTATACTACATATACTACCTTGTGTAGTGTATGGCACACTACACCTTACATCTATCTAAACCAGATTTTTTTGTAATTTATTGGACATTTCGTTTGTATGTAGCTTCAATGTTAGTTACAGATATTGTCGTTAATAATTTTAATGTAGTGCTATCAGCTATATCAAGATAAGTTGTAACAATTTTTGATTTTAAAAGAAGAAGTAGTGATATCATTAATCCAAATATACTTGTAACATTTTCATATTCTCCCTTATCCCTATAAATTGCTTTGAATTTTACATTTTGTTTAGCGTTTCGTTGCACCTTTGTGCTACACTTCAAATCTTCCGATTTTGTTCAATTTTATGTTCTTCTTCTTTCTCTTTTAATAGGAATGTGTATTACCCTGTCTTTCTTCACCAATTCAGAGTCCCCAGTTGTGACTTTAAACTCCAGCTTTCGTGCCACCTCAATTGCAACTATAGCGATTTAAAAACGTAGCCAAAATGTAGATCTTCCTACGTGGTCTCTCCATTTACCTTGTAACTACAGTGTGTTAATTAATTATCGTACCCGACGTCATCATTGCAAGTATGCAACCAATATCACAGTATTCGTATTGCAATACCAGTACTGTGATATTGGTTGCATACTTGCAATGATGACGAATTAATTAACACGATGTATATCCCACATTTTGTCTGCAGACTCTATTTGAATGAATAATGTTTATAATATATTTTATAAAGTGTTTTAACCTCTTAAGCGCTTATGTCGCATATAATCGTCATCACGAAAGTCGCTGCGAAGTGGGTATGCGGATATATTCACATCTTAGAAATTAAAGTGATATTCAATAGGCAAGACAATTTCGCCACGTATATTTTATTTTAGGCTAGTATAGACTTCGGTCTAACACATGCTTGAACTGGTTTCACGTTTTAATTCGCTGTTCGCTTATAAAACACATTTTCGCGCTGTTGTTCGGTGCTCCACGTATTGCATACGCAAATTGCGAAATTACTATACAGAAAAAGTAATTAAACTCTAATAATTTCTAATTAAAATTATTATTTGGTTTTATTATTTAGAGATGGCAAAAAAAATTAGATGTAAATATATGTGATTCTGAAAATTCCGATATGGACGACGATTACAGCGAAAGTTTAGCAAAAATGCTTTAATTTGATACCAAACAGGATGTATTTGGGTTAAAAAATAAAAAACTTAGGTTAGAAACTGTCAAATGTCAAAATTGAAAATAACGATTTTTTGATAAATATTGAAATGACCTTAATAAGAACCAAAAATGCTTTCATTTGATACCAAACACGATGTATTTGGGTTAAAAATAAAAAACTTAGGTTAGAAACTATCAAATGTCAAAACTGAAAATAACGATTTTTTGATAAATATTGAAATGATTTTAATACGAATCAAAAATGCTTTCATTTGATACCAAACACGATTTATTTGGATTAAAAAATAAAAAAGTTATATTAGAAACTGTCAAATGTCAAAATTAAATGTAACTTTTTTTGATAAATATTGAAATGATCCTAATAAGAATCAAGAATGCTTTAATTTGATGCCAAACACGGTATATTTGGGTTGAAAAATAAAAAAAATAGGTTAGGAACTGTCAAATGTCAAAATCAAATATAGCGATTTTTTGATAAATATTGAAATGATCCTAATAAGAATCAAGAATGCTTTAATTTGATGCCAAACACGATATATTTGGGTTAAAAAATAAAAAAAAATAGGTTAGGAACTGTCAAATGTCAAAATTAAATATAGTGATTTTTTGATAAATATTGAAATGATCGTAATAAGAATCAAAAATGCTTTAATTTGATACCAAACACGATGTAGTTGTGTTAAAAAATAAAAAAGTTCTGTTAAAAACTGTCAAATGTCAAATAATCGCCATTTTTTTTTGGTAAAGATTAAAATATCTCGATAACGGTTGGAGATAAATAAATCGAGTTTGGGTTCATTTTAAAGAATTTTTTATTTTCTATCCATTAATGTTAAAAACAGCTTTATGACTAAAAAAAATTTCTGAATTGATCCTTATTAAGAAACTAATACGACTTCATCCGACTAATCCGCTAGTAATTAGTAATCCACTGAATGCAACGGTCGAGATAGCTGTCCGAATTTGTGTGCACTAAAATTATTCATTCAAACAGTTCAAGGACATTCCCTTCGCGTATTATATTCGCCACTTTTTGGACATAACTACCATAAATTGTTACCAAATTCATCGAACACTTGGTGATAAAAAATAACGGCTACATTTTCTGATGGACCTGGGTGAAATGCTTGTCGAAAAATATGCTAATCTTTTAGAAGACCGATCAAGGACACCAAGGCCTTCTTGACTACTAGAGCGACTTTTCCCAGATTTCATTCCACCTACAACAAAACAAAAGCCGACAAAACGATGCGTCCTTTGTTATGAAAACAAAATTAGATTAAATATTAAATATTAAATTTGACCACATACGCTCGACGTAAAAAGCGCTTAAGAGGTTAAAATATAATTTTAAAAATATAAATTTTTGATTTTTCAGGTTTCATCATTTTTTCTCCACCTAACGCTATTCTGGATAACATTAACCACAAAAATCGTCTCAACAGCACCAAAGAACCCAATAAAAACCAAAAAATCGTTATCCTATTTCGACTTTCTTCAAAAACCAGAAGAAACCGACTTTTTATCCTCAACTTTTCAACGATTACACGAAAACAAAGATCAAAATGATGCAAATAACATCAAGAATGACGTCTTCTCTTTAACTCGGAGTTATGGCGTTAAAAAATCAAAACCAGCTTCAAACCAAGTCTTTAATTCCCCGATTTACTACATTCGATTACCCCCGCAACCTTTCATGTTTATCCCCGGATTTGGTTACGTTTCAAAGCCGGAATTAAACGTTCCGGAGTCGTTTTTGAACGTCCCCGTTGATTTTATATCGAATGGAAAACCCGGGATGATTTATCAATGGAATGGGGGATTTGTTGATTTTCCAGCTAAAGAAAATGAAGTAAAGAAGATTAAAAAGACCAAAATTAAATCAAAATCGGATTCGAGGGTTTATAAAATTCCCGGGAAATTTGTTTTTAATGGAAAACCGAATGATGTGTTCGTTTTAACCGATAAATACGGATTTTATAACGATGGTTTGCAAAGTTTTTATCCTTAAATGTAACAAAAAATTTTTAATAAAAAGATCTCTTATTATTTTATTGTAAATATATTTTTTTTTTAGTTATAAAATAGGTTTAAGTTAATTAATTGATTATTATTTTAAGTTAGAAATAAAGTTTTTATATTAAATAAATTTGTTGGAATGATTAAGGTAGGCAACCAATTTAACCTCTAATTTTACAGAAACCTTTTTTACTTAAACACAAAGTTTTCTAACTTCACGGCGTTCAATATCGATTAAACCCCATTCTTTGTGATTCTTTGTTAAAGATTCATTGTGGAGTGCTTTTTGTGTATTTAAAATGTTATTAAAACACTGAGTAAGTATTAAATCATAACCATTAAAATTATTATTATTAAAAAAAAACGTTTTTAAAAAATCTTTTAATTTTTAAGGTTATAACAATTTTATTGCATTTTAGGTTTATTTCTACACCAATCAACATCAAAATGCGAAATACACCAATTTTATTAATTAAAACAACTAAATCGACAACGATTAATTTGAAAGTTAATAACAATAAAAAAAAAATTGTGCGTGTTTACAACGAATATAGAACTGTTAAACAATAATTTAATCGCTACGTTAATCTAAACAACAAAAAAAGACAATAATTTTAAATTAATCATCAAGAACGTGCCCCAAGTAGATTTTTTTTAATTTTGTATTGTTGGCTCCCGTGTTTGTGAAGTGAGGGGATTAAGAGTGGGGGGACTTTTATATAAACGCGGACGTCCATTTTAAATTTTAGTGTGTTTTGTTCATCGTCGTGGAAAGATCTCCATTTTTTGGATAAGAAGAAAATTCGTTTTTAGAAGAGCTTTATTTTCTTTTTTCTGTTTTTAATTCATTGTATGGGTGAGTATCTACTAATACATTTATTTCTAAATCGAATCGTTATTTCGCAACCGGATGTAACAAAAAAAATGAAAGGAATGATTCATCATTCTCGGAAGTATTTAACAATAACTATTGTTTGATTTTTTATCGTGTTTACGTCACGTTTACGTAAATTGATTTGGAAACAGCTGTTTGTGTAAAAATTCGGATAATTTGAGTTTAGATAAAAAATTTTGACGTTTGAGGTTAGATTTAAAACGTCAAATTAATTTTTTTTTTTTTAAATAATTTAAATTATTATTTTTAATTTTACGATTAAATAAATATTTCAGATCGTGACAAAACCGAAATCCAAACATCGTTAGTGCTAAGTACGGCTGTCAAAAATGCAGCTGTACGCGAAGGAAATGACAGCGGGGGCGGCGCCTCCATCATTTTTGACACATCTTCGTCATCGACAACAAAAATTCGTCAAAAACCGCGATTACTTTCTCTCTCCGAAATCGAGCAGCAACAATCGGAGCGCGGTGTTTTGCCAACGGTCGGTAGATGGGGCTGCGAATGGCCAAGTTGACTCGCAAATAACAACAAAGATCGGCAATCCGACGACGATGATGGCTCTCATTACCTAAAAAACAACAATAACAATAATGTCGTCAATTCTGGTTCTCCCGATGATGCGCGAAATGGTCAAAACTTGGTGGGGTTACGTCATCTAACGGCGGGAAATGCAAACAACATATTGACAGATGGCATTAATATTTTGACAGCTGATAATTTGTCTGTTAATGATAAGATCAATGGTAACGGCGATTTTGTGTTTGGTCATCTGGTCGCGGAAGTGGAAGAGGGTCCATGGCCTTTGGGCAGGCCGCTCCCTCTACCGGTTTGGGCGCGAACCGAAATGACGTCTGCCCAGTTGACGTTCAATTCCATTTGGGAATACGAACAGTTGGCTTCGACGGTTGAATATCATGTGCAAAAAGTTTTGGAGGAGCACAATTATAACACGGTTGGAAACTTTTTGCGATTGTATGAGGGTTTTAAGGCGAGCGGATGTAGTAATCTGTCGGAATATTATCAAAGGTAAAAAAATTTTCAAGTGGTAATTAATGTGTTAAATTAAATTTTTAATATTTTCATGATTATTACATAATATATCACCACAAAAACAAATAATATTAACACATTAACTGTTGGATTGACATCGCGTCTTTCAATGTGTTAAATAAACATTTTTATTTATTTGATTTATTTTATTGTTCATTCAACTCTATTTTTAACACATTTACTACCCGAGTTAAAACAGTACTAAATAAATAATATGGTAATCATCGTTAGTTGATGTGTTAAGTAACCATTTTTAATTTTTTGGTTTATCTTATTTGTTAAACTTTTCGTGAATATATATAATTCATAAAAAAATTTTTTAACACATTTGCTACACGATCATTCTAATTTCAGTTATCATTCAACGTGTTAAATTTGAACAAACATTTTTAATAAATGTTTTAATCATCGCAGATAGAATGGAATACTTTTCTACAAAAATAAATAATTTTAACACATTAACTGTTCGATTGACATCGCGTCTTTCAATGTGTTAAATAAACATTATTATTTATTTGATTTATCTTATTGTTCATTCAACTCTATTATTCGCAAGCAAATAATTCTTAAAAAATTTTAACACATTTACTACCCGAATTAAAACAGTACTAAATAAAAAATATAGAATAAATAATATGGTAATCATCGTTAGTCGATGTGTTAAGTAACCATTTTTAATTTTTTGGTTTATCTTATTTGTTAAACTTTTCGTAAGTATATAATTCATAAAAAAAATTTTTAACACATTTGCTACACGATCATTCTAATTTCAGGTATCATTCAATGTGTTAAATTTGAACAAACATTTTTAATAAATGTTTTAATCATCGCAGATAGAATGGAATACTTTACTACAAAAATAAATAATTTTAACACATTAACTGTTGGATTAACATCGCGTCTTTCAATGTGTTAAATAAACATTTTTATTTATTTGATTTATCTTATTGTTCATTCAACTCTATTATTCGCAAGCAAATAATTCTTAAAATTTTTTAACACATTTATTACCCGGGTTAAAACAGTACTAAATAAAAAATATAGAATAAATAATATGGTAATCATCGTCAGTCGATGTGTTAAGTAACCATTTTTAGTTTTTTGGTTTATTTTATTTGTTAAACTTTTCTTAAGTATATAATTCATAAATTTTTTTTAACACATTTACTACACGATCATTCTAGTTTCAGTTCGCACTTAATGTGTTAAATTTGAACAAATATTTTTAATAAATGTTTTAATCGTCGAAGATAGAATGGAATACTTTACTACAAAAATAAATAATTTTAACACATTAACTGCTGAATTAACGTCGACAACGCGTCGGTCATTGTGCTAATTAACCATTTTTAGTTATTTGCTTACCTTTTTGTTTTATTTAACTTATCGCAAGTACATAATTCATCACAAATTTTTTTTTAGCACGTTTACTACCCGAGCGTTTTAGTTGATGTACAATGTGTTAAATTAAAACAGTGCTAAATAAAAATATTGAATAAATATGGTAATCATTAAAGTTAGAACGAAGTATTTTGCAACAAAAATAAACAATTTTAACTCATTAACTATTGAATTAATGTCGACAACGCGTCGGTCATTGTGCTAATTAACCATTTTTAGTTATTTGGCTTACTTTTTTGTTCTATTTAACTTATCGCAAGTAAATAATTCATCACAAAATTTTTTTAGCACGTTTACTACCCGAGCGTTTTAGGTGGTATACAATGTGTTAAATTAAAACAGTACTAAATAAAAAATATTGAATAAATATGGTAATCATTAAAGTTAGAACGAAGTATTTTGCAACAAAAGTAAACAATTTTAACTCATTAACTATTGAATTAATGTCGACAACGCGTCGGTCATTGTGCTAATTAACCATTTTTAGTTATTTGGCTTACTTTTTTGTTCTATTTAACTTATCGCAAGTAAATAATTCATCACAAAATTTTTTTAGCACGTTTACTACCCGAGCGTTTTAGGTGGTATACAATGTGTTAAATTAAAACAGTACTAAATAAAAAATATTGAATAAATATGGTAATCATTAAAGTTAGAACGAAGTATTTTGCAACAAAAGTAAACAATTTTAACTCATTAACTATTGAATTAATGTCGACAACGCGTCGGTCATTGTGCTAATTAACCATTTTTAGTTATTTGGCTTACTTTTTTGTTCTATTTAACTTATCGCAAGTAAATAATTCATCACAAAATTTTTTTAGCACGTTTACTACCCGAGCGTTTTAGGTGGTATACAATGTGTTAAATTAAAACAGTACTAAATAAAAAATATTGAATAAATATGGTAATCATTAAAGTTAGAACGAAGTATTTTGCAACAAAAGTAAACAATTTTAACTCATTAACTATTGAATTAATGTCGACAACGCGTCGGTCATTGTGCTAATTAACCATTTTTAGTTATTTGGCTTACTTTTTTGTTCTATTTAACTTATCGCAAGTAAATAATTCATCACAAAATTTTTTTAGCACGTTTACTACCCGAGCGTTTTAGGTGGTATACAATGTGTTAAATTAAAACAGTACTAAATAAAAAATATTGAATAAATATGGTAATCATTAAAGTTAGAACGAAGTATTTTGCAACAAAAGTAAACAATTTTAACTCATTAACTATTGAATTAATGTCGACAACGCGTCGGTCATTGTGCTAATTAACCATTTTTAGTTATTTGGCTTACTTTTTTGTTCTATTTAACTTATCGCAAGTAAATAATTCATCACAAAATTTTTTTAGCACGTTTACTACCCGAGCGTTTTAGGTGGTATACAATGTGTTAAATTAAAACAGTACTAAATAAAAAATATTGAATAAATATGGTAATCATTAAAGTTAGAACGAAGTATTTTGCAACAAAAGTAAACAATTTTAACTCATTAACTATTGAATTAATGTCGACAACGCGTCGGTCATTGTGCTAATTAACCATTTTTAGTTATTTGGCTTACTTTTTTGTTCTATTTAACTTATCGCAAGTAAATAATTCATCACAAAATTTTTTTAGCACGTTTACTACCCGAGCGTTTTAGGTGGTATACAATGTGTTAAATTAAAACAGTACTAAATAAAAAATATTGAATAAATATGGTAATCATTAAAGTTAGAACGAAGTATTTTGCAACAAAAGTAAACAATTTTAACTCATTAACTATTGAATTAATGTCGACAACGCGTCGGTCATTGTGCTAATTAACCATTTTTAGTTATTTGGCTTACTTTTTTGTTCTATTTAACTTATCGCAAGTAAATAATTCATCACAAAATTTTTTTAGCACGTTTACTACCCGAGCGTTTTAGGTGGTATACAATGTGTTAAATTAAAACAGTACTAAATAAAAAATATTGAATAAATATGGTAATCATTAAAGTTAGAACGAAGTATTTTGCAACAAAAGTAAACAATTTTAACTCATTAACTATTGAATTAATGTCGACAACGCGTCGGTCATTGTGCTAATTAACCATTTTTAGTTATTTGGCTTACTTTTTTGTTCTATTTAACTTATCGCAAGTAAATAATTCATCACAAAATTTTTTTAGCACGTTTACTACCCGAGCGTTTTAGGTGGTATACAATGTGTTAAATTAAAACAGTACTAAATAAAAAATATTGAATAAATATGGTAATCATTAAAGTTAGAACGAAGTATTTTGCAACAAAAGTAAACAATTTTAACTCATTAACTATTGAATTAATGTCGACAACGCGTCGGTCATTGTGCTAATTAACCATTTTTAGTTATTTGATTTATTTTTTGTTTTATTTAACATATTGCAAGTAAATAATTCATTACAAAATTTTTTTAGCACATTTACTACCAGAGCATTCTAGTTCTTCGGTTAAGTTCAACGTGTTAAGTAATTTGATTTGCAACAAATTTTAATTAAACAGATTTATTTATATTTAACAGATTGTCTTCAGAACGTAACATATACAACAAATATAAACTCAGCTTTCATTGTAAGTACGAAGATTAAATGTGCTATATTTAATCTTCAACAATTAAATGAACACTCAATGTGTTAAGCAAAGTTTTTGTTGTTGATCGCAAGTTTTCACTGATTTTTTTTGTATTAAACCTGTATATTATATCATAGTTATAAAAATTTACCGAAATTTATGATTGTGGCAGTCAATGTGTTAAGATATGTGTGTTTAAGTTGTTTTATTTTTTAAAAATTTTACTTTATGTATCTATTTATGAATTTGATACATTTAAATTGATATTTATTAATATTTTTTTTGTGTTATATTAGAATTAAATTCCCAATGTGTATTAAAATGAAAAAATTTAACACATTGACTACCAAATTTTTTTTTTATAATAGCCATTGTGTTAACTCCTTTTTTATTCTAGTTACACACCTCCTATAACCTCGAAACATCACACTTGCGTCGGTTTGGCTTTAGAATTAAAACGACGATTATCGCGTTTGGCAAAACGAGACTTTCCCCAACTCTCAAAATCGCTTTATTTGACGTCGTGCGAAGAAGGTATCGATCCGTTAGGTTACTTGGCATTGTTTGAAAATATCGACGACGTCAGCACCTGTTTAGATAAAGAACACGTTTTGTTGGCGGGGAAATTTGAAATCGACGGACGACGTGGGGTGTTTTTATGCGATCCGGGGTACCACGTGGGTAGGGTTATTACTGTTATGGAAGATCTAAATTACCCCCATACAGGTAAGAAAAAAAATTAAACAATATTTTAATTTACCTATTTTAACCGAATCATCACATAATCAGGTTGGTTTATGCAATCAGAAGAAAATGCAATTTCAAAGGAATACAATTATAATTTTTCGCCAATAAACGATAATTTCATCGAATGGACCGAACGGACTACGAAATCCGGCGTACAGCACACTTTCACGGCGTTGATTTACGTGAAATGCGCGTATTTAACGGCCGTTGACGTCACGGAACGTCGTAATTTGGTCTATAATTTCCGCAGTCTGCTCTCTCGCAACACAAAGGGTCGCTTGAAAGCTGGAATTTATTTCAAAATCAAAGAAAAATCGTCGGACGAGTTCACTTTGTTCTATCACGATGTCGCAAAACAAAGGGTGGTTCTTAATTTTAACGCTTTTCTACATCCGGAAATGGTGAGTTAAAAGTGATAAAATAAAATAGAATTGTTAGTTAATGATTATTTTTATTTTGTTTAGGTTAACGAAAATATTTTGAAAGCTGTCAAAAAATGTAATGATCAATTAAATTTGAAAGACAACGAGTTAATTGAAGTTATAAAATCGATTGCTGAAGTTTTGGGCGATAAAAATTACGTAAATCAATTACTGGAGATCAATAATTGTGTTAATGTGATGGCAGAAAATAATTAAAAGAAAAAAATATTTTTTTTTTATTGATTTGATGCGTTTGATTCTAAATTTGGGTTTTTTGGGTTTATTTTAGTTATAAATTATTATTTTAGTGTTTTATTATGGGTTTATTGCATTTAATATTAATAAAAAATTAGATTATTTACGAAAAAAATTAATGAGTTTTATTTTTACTTTCAAGTTGTACAAGAGCTACAAATCGCTGTTTAAAAACTTTACTTGCAAGTTGAAACACGTTCACAATGTTTAGTTTAATACGACGTATATTCGACAGGTTATGTACGTCAATAAAAGCCTGATGTTAAAAATAATAAAGTGTGGCAACAGCTTTGTTCGTTGGATCTTCGCAACTCTGCACGACATAGCACTAGTGTGACGTCATAGTGCAATTTAGTGTAAGTAAGCCACATTTATATTTGTCTGACGTGTTGTGTCGTGATGCGCTATAACGTGATGTTAGTGTTCACATCTATATGTCGTATTCTGACGCACTGTGACGATAAACAAGGGGGCGCCGGCGCCTTTTTAATGTTTTCTCCAACAATATCTTATCTTTCTTTTGCAGTATTTAGACCTGTCAGTAGTATCTAGTCTTCAGAAAGCAGTATTTAGTCTCCACAAAGCAATTTTAGTCTTTAGAAAGCAGTATTTAGTGTTCTAGACGCTGTATTTAGACCTGTCGGCAGTATCTAGTCTTCAGAAGGCAGTATTTAGTCTTCTAGAAGCAGTATCTAGTCTTCAGAAAGCAGTATCTAGCCTCCACAAAGTAATTTTAGTCTTTAGAAAGCAGTATTTAGTGTTCCAGACGCTGTATTTAGACCTGTCGGAAGTATCTAGTCTTCAAAAAGCAATATTTACTCTTCTAGAAGCAGTGTTTAGTCTTCTGCCAAAGTTATGTATGTTTTCTCCAAAATATTTCATCTTTCTTTTGCAATATTTAGACCTGTTAGCAGTATCTAGTCCTCAGAAAGCAGTATTTAGTCTTCTAGAAGCAGTATCTAGTCTTCAGAAAGCAGTATTTAGTCTCCACAAAGTAATTTTAGTCTTTAGAAAGCAGTATTTAGTGTTCCAGACGCTGTATTTAGACTTCAGAAAGCAGTATTTAGTCTCCACAAAGCAATTTTAGTCTTTAGAAAGCAGTATTTAGTGTTCCAGACGCTGTATTTAGACCTGTCGGAAGTATCTAGTCTTCAGAAGGCAGTATTTGGTCTTCTAGAAGCAGTATCTAGTCTTCTGCCAACGTTATGTACGTTTTCTCCAACAATATCTTATCTTTCTTTTGCAGTATTTAGACCTGTCAGCAGTAGCTAGTCTTCAGAAAGCAGTATCTAGTCTCCACAAAGCAATTTTAGTCTTTAGAAGGCAGTATTTAGTATTCCAAGCGCTGTATTTAGACCTGTCGGCAGTATATAGTCTTCAGAAAGCAATATGTAGTCTTCTAGAAGCAGTATTTAATCTTCTGCCAAAGTTATGTATGTTTTCTCCAAAATATTTTATCTTTGTTTTGCAGTATTTAGACCTGTTAACAGTATCTAGTCTTCAGAAAGCAGTATTTAGTCTCCACAAAGCAATTTTAGTCTTTAGAAAGCAGTATTTAGGGTTCTAGACGCTGTATTTAGACCTGTCGGCAGTATCTAGTCTTCAGAAAGCAGTATTTAGTCTTCTAGAAGCAGTATCTAGTCTTCTGCCAACGTTATGTATGTTTTCTCCAACAATATCTTATCTTTCTTTTGCAGTACTTAGCCCTGTCAGCAGTATCTAGTCTTCAGAAAGCAGTATTTAGTCTCCACAAAGCAATTTTAGTCTTTAGAAAGCAGTATTTAGTGTTCCAGACGCTGTATTTAGACCTGTCGGCAGTATCTAGTCTTCAGAAAGCAGTATTTAGTCTTCTAGAAGCAGTATCTAGTCTTCTGCCAACGTTATGTATGTTTTCTCCAACAATATCTTATCTTTCTTTTGCAGTACTTAGCCCTGTCAGCAGTATCTAGTCTTCAGAAAGCAGTATTTAGTCTCCACAAAGCAATTTTAGTCTTTAGAAAGCAGTATTTAGTGTTCCAGACGCTGTATTTAGACCTGTCGGCAGTATCTAGTCTTCAGAAAGCAGTATTTAGTCTTCTAGAAGCAGTATCTAGTCTTCTGCCAACGTTATGTATGTTTTCTCCAACAATATCTTATCTTTCTTTTGCAGTACTTAGCCCTGTCAGCAGTATCTAGTCTTCAGAAAGCAGTATTTAGTCTCCACAAAGCAATTTTAGTCTTTAGAAAGCAGTATTTAGTGTTCCAGACGCTGTATTTAGACCTGTCGGCAGTATCTAGTCTTCAGAAAGCAGTATTTAGTCTTCTAGAAGCAGTATCTAGTCTTCTGCCAACGTTATGTATGTTTTCTCCAACAATATCTTATCTTTCTTTTGCAGTACTTAGCCCTGTCAGCAGTATCTAGTCTTCAGAAAGCAGTATTTAGTCTCCACAAAGCAATTTTAGTCTTTAGAAAGCAGTATTTAGTGTTCCAGACGCTGTATTTAGACCTGTCGGCAGTATCTAGTCTTCAGAAAGCAGTATTTAGTCTTCTAGAAGCAGTATCTAGTCTTCTGCCAACGTTATGTATGTTTTCTCCAACAATATCTTATCTTTCTTTTGCAGTATTTAGACCTGTCAGCAGTATCTAGTCTTCAGAAAGCAGTATTTAGTCTTCTAGAAGCAGTATCTAGTCTTCTGCCAACGTTATGTATGTTTTCTCCAACAATATCTTATCTTTCTTTTGCAGTACTTAGACCTGTCAGCAGTATCTAGTCTTCAGAAAGTAGTATTTAGTCTCCACAAAGCAATTTTAGTCTTTAGAAAGCAGTATTTAGTGTTCCAGAGCAGTATCTAGTCTTCATAAAGCAGTATTTAGTTTTTTAGAAGCAGTTTCTAACTTCTCGTTCTGCCAACGTTATGTATGTTTTGTTCTTGATACTGACAGCTACTTCTTTCTGGGTGTCTATCATGATCTTTTTGGGAGCCTCTTATTATCTATACGAATCTTATACCATCCGGTACCTCATTTCTGCAGCTGTTACTTTGCTTTTGTGCTTATCCTGCATTGGCAAAGTTTCCGTATTGGTGATTTCCTGTCCTGTGCAATAACAAGACAAGTCCATTGGTTTCTTGTTCTTATTCGCATTTTTTTATTGAACACATAAGTATTGCCATGAAAAATCATGTTTGGTTTATAATCAATTTTTTGTTTTCTCTGAACTGTAATTTCAGACTTCATGTGGACTTTGAACAATGTAATTCCTGTTTTTTGCAATTTCAGACCTTTTCTTGCTAATTAACCTTAAGCATACAGGTAAGTATTTATTTATTTTTATTTTGTATTATTTTAAAGATAGAAAAAAGATTAATTAATTGAAGAGTCGAGTAGATGAAGAAAGTAAGTTATATGGGAAATCCAATTTGCTTATTCACCTCTTTTATCCATTCAATTATCATCAGAAATGTCGGTATTCATATAACTGTTGTAATATGCTGAAATGTTATCTATCGATGTGAGAGTTGATGTGAGTGGGTATACCGGCATAGATGTGGATGGTTGAATGGATAGCTGGAGTTGTTGTTGTGTCTGGGCAACAATGTGGTGAGCCGCATTAGTTAGTGCTGGTCCAACAGATTGAGCTTGTGACTCAAGTTTCCGTATTTCCGCATGTGACACAACAGTATGCAAATCTAACTTGATTTTAGTTTGGTCGAGGTTTGGCAATTGTGTAACTACTTTGCTCATGCTCAAAAAGAATAAGTCCATTTCATCCATACCCTACCCGACTAGTTAACATTTTGACCGTTCTTTTTGCATTCTCAAGTCATGAGAGGACTTCATTAAATCATATAGATCTTGAAGGTTTGTTCTTTGGGAATAACCTTGAATACCGGAAGGTGGTGTTGCTGGGCGGCTTTCTGTTTCAGAATTTTCAGATTGCATAGTTTCTAAGTGATGCTCTGGTGCAGTGTTGGTGATTCCGCTCGAAAATTCCGAAAATTTTAAGTTTACTTTCAAAAGATTTGATGTATCCAAACATAACATCAATACTTTTGCCAAAACTAAGTTTAGTCCATTCATATGAACAGACAAATCTGTAAATAACATCAAATTACTGATCCACTTACCAGCATTAATCTGGGGAAAGTTTGCCAGGTTCCACAAACATTCCACAAATCGCTCAAGAACTTTACCTCGATTCAGCCATCTCACATTAATTAAACATTAGCAATCCACTGTAGGTTGAATCGACTTCTTGCCAAAGTGCAGAAAATTCTCGCTTATGAAGAGGTCGAGCAGTGATAAAATTAACAATTTTTATTACATCAGACATTACATTATTCAGTTCTGAAAATCCTGATTTAGCACACAATACCTCCTGATGGATAATACAATAGAATGGTACAATAAGATGTCTAACAGTTTCCATAAACAATTTCACGAATCCCACATTTTTTCCAACCATATTTGGTGCCCCATCTGTTATGACATGACCGACACAATTTTAGACATATCAATGCGTAAGTATTGGAGCATTGGACGATAAACATGTATCTATAATATGTCCAATAAATGCAAGCTTGACATTTTATAATTACAAAAACGAGCATTCTGTTGTACTGCTTGCACTTGTTGATGCTCATTGCAGATTCGTTATGATAGATGTAGAGCGTAGGCGCTAGAAATAGTGATGGTGGTATATACCAAATGTCTTTAATGGGAAAAATGTTTGAGATAAGTCAATTAAATGTGCCACCAAACAAACCATTAAACCAAAATACAGAGCCTTTACCCTACACTATTGTGGCAGACGCTGCATATCCATTGAAAACTTATTTATTAAAACCGTACTGTAGAAAATGCATTCGGAATATTACGTACTAGATTTAGAGTGTTTCAAAGACCTTTGCTAGTACAACCAAACATGGCAGAAAAGATCGTACTTGCAGCTTACTGCCTTCACAACCTTTTGACCAAAAATACCCAGCAAACAGAAGAAAATACCTAAAGCTAAAAACTAATATGCAACAACCAACTTTACAACAATGCCAAACAAAAAATAAACCTTTGGATATAAACGATCCACGAGATTTGAAAGCCAAAGACTTGTGGAATGGGAAGTTTGCAGAACTCAAGAGCAAGTTGGAACGCCAGAAAAGCATACACATTGCGCAGCACAAGTGGACAGCTCTAAAAGAAATTCGGCGAGTTGAGGCCCTCATATTCGGCGCATGGAATAGTCTTCCAGAATGCTACAGTGAGATGAAGAAGTTGGCATACAGAGTGCTGATGATCTTCGGGTTCTTCGGATCTTCTTGCTTTCAGAAGCTGCAAGAGAGTACGCAAAACGCTACCCGAACCGAAGACATCCTAATCGGACAACCATCATGAACTGTTTCAGATCGCTCCGGCAAACAGGATCCTTGCCGAAAAAGACTAATGAGCGAGAGCCTGCGCGAAGAAACCACACTGAAGCTGTTCTTCATGGAGTTTCTGAGAATCGGAGAACCAGCATAAGAAGAACGGTTGCCACCACAGACTTTGCGTGAAAACTGGCTACATCCTTACCACGTACAACAAGTACAAAATCTCTCACCAGCAGACTATGCGGAACGAGAAGAATTTTGCTCGTGGATTCTAGAGAACCAAGATCTCCTCCCAATTGCTTTATTCGCGGATGAGTCTACCTTCACTCATGATCTTCACATATAACGAGCACATCTGGAGCGAAGAAAATCTTCATGTTTTGTCAGAAAGTAGATTCTAGCACCGATTTTCGGTTAATGTGGAACTTTGACCAGTAAAATCTGTAGGAGACTCCTAGAAGAAGGGTCGTAACCGACTTTTTGAACACTGCGTTTCCAAATCGCTGGATAGGATGGATCTGATCCCTTTCGACTTTTTCCTCTGGGGCAATGTTAAACCCATTGTTAGATAGGAGAACTGAGTCGAAGAGCAGAGTTGTGTATGGCAGTCCAGGGTCGCCATTTTGAGCAGCTTTAATCAATTAATGACCGCCATGAAAATTAAAATCATTAAGACTTAACACTTTCTACTGATTATTGTAGAAGTAACACAATAATTTAAGTTAATTAAGTTATCCCATATCTCAACAACGGTTGAGAATTGGACCTATGTTGACTGGAAGTTTTTTGCTAATTTTGATGCAAGGAATAATCCTAAGAAGTTATGCAACTCAACGGGGATGTCTCAGCGAGACCTAGTACATTAAACGTTTCTAACATTCCGGCCAAAATAAAAATTTGAGAATTCAGATTTAAGTATTATCAATTGCGGTTATAAGTTTTCGCACGAAGGTATCTTTAACAGGCATAACAACCATATCTAGGCAATATTCTTGAATTTCGGAAAACATGGACTTATAAACATAGTATCTAGCGCTAAAAATGTGAAACCCCAAAGATAATGTAGATTTGTAATGAGCGTGATTCGTCACGATCTCATCTTGCTCTTGGTCTACCAGCCATGCGCCTTTTTCCTGATTATCTCAGAAACAATTTGTTTTTTTGCAGCACGTGCTGCGTTGTAAATGCCCTGTCCAGCAGGAGCATCTTCCTTTCAAATCGTTCCAGTAGCTCTGCCAATTTTTTTATGATGGTCCACTTTCATCTCCTTGGACTTGTTCGTCAAGGTTGGATTTAGATCGATTATTCTTCTCATAACATATTCAAGGAACCAAGAGGGTATTCTCGAAGATCATGGTGTGCAACTTGTGAATGTAACTTCAAGTTCAAATTTGAAGTGTTCTTTTGAGATTTTGCCAAGTTGTTTGCTCGTTCTGTTCAAAACTTGAGAACCAGTTGTATAATTCTATATGGTTCTTTTGCAATATTTTTGTAAGTGCTTCTTTAGGTAGCGATTTTGATGATGAGAGATATGCCAAATTGACTACTCACTAGGTTTAGTTGTTGTAGACTAGAATGTGTGGGTTTTAACTATGTTTCGTAACTTTATTCTGGAATATTTGAATACTTACAGTTGATATTCGAGTTATTGCTGCCTTTAGCCCCAAAGTTAAATGTAGTAGTGCCAATAAATTGAACATTTGGGGTTATTCCCAATCAGCCTATAGCTTTGTATGCAATTTTAGGGCCTCTTTCCATCTAGGTTTGATGTCCAGACTTATGCCTAAATACTTGGCGTTGTGTCCATTTATCTACTTAATTTTAGCATTGCAGTTTTTTGTTATTAAAATAATTTAAAATTTTTTAAATTAAATGTAAACAAAGCGATACCAGCGCTACCTGACGCTAACGGCGGGGTGTACAACTAATTCAATTTTTGATTAATATCTATTTTAATTAATTTCTAAAAATTAAAATGAATGTATATTTTTATAATAATAAATTAAAAGTTTTTTCGTTTCTATTTTTATTGTTTATGCGATATACGCCGTTCTAAAATATTAATTTATAGTAACTTTTTAATTTTTAGGTTGAAATTTTTTTCGGTTGGCACCACCAGAAAAAACTTTTTACAATTTTGTTGGTTATGTGTTATTTTGTGTTTAAAGCTTTAATTTCGCCGAATTTTAAGAATAATTAATTAATGTAATCGTAAATATGTCGTGCATCGACGATTCTTTCGAATTATTTTCGGCTCGATCACCAAAAATCGATCCCACGAAAAAAAAGTTACCAAAAAAAGGTTAAAATTTTTTTTAAACATCTTCATTTTCCTAATTTTTTCATTTTTAGCAACGAAATTAACGTTAAAAACAACCAAAATTCGTCGCTCATCGATTTTGAACAACCAAGTTAATAATTGTACTGCAATTATAGTAAGTTCATCATCAACTGATGACTCAGATTTACCTTCGGATGATGTTAAGGTAAAGGAAAATGATGTTATTGTGATCGAATCGAGCGATTCTGAGGGTTATCCATCAACCCCGAGGTTATTAGATGATGAAATTAGGATATTAGATGATTTATATGGCGTTGGATGGAGAGAATCTCAAAAACATTTATTTCCAAAGTCGGAATTGAAGGGTTTTAGGAAAAAGAATCAATTAAATTTAAGTAATTTTAGTAAAACTGAGACGTAGGTACTAAATAAATTAAAAATATCCACGTTTTATTAAATTTTTTTAGGAAGAAAAATCAATTTTTGAATAAAATTTCCAATTCAGACGATGAATCAGATAAAGAAAATCATAAAAAAACGAAAAAAAAGTTGTTTAATGATCTCAATGATAGTAGTGATGATAATAGTGATGATTTAAAAGTTCCCCAAATAAAAAGTTTTCTAGAATCCCTCTCAAAATCGGTTCCCATCTCAAAATGTGATCCCTCAGCTCGAATTTATCGCGAAAATTTTAAAGGAAATCGCGAAATATTAATTGATAAATTAAAATCGATTTATAACGAAAATATTTTTGGGGGGAAATTAAAAGATGTTCCAATTGAGTGGAGCGAAAAGATGCGTTCTTCCGCAGGATTTTGTTATTGCAAAAAAAAAATTTATTCCAATAAATCAATAGAAAGATCGGCTAGGATAGTTTTATCAAAAAAAATAATTGATTCAGCTGATCGATTACGAGACACTTTAATCCATGAAATGTGCCATGCTGCTGCTTGGATTATCGATTTAGTCACTAATGGACATGGACCAATTTGGCAAAAATGGACTCGCAAAGCTGTTACAACATTCCCAGAACTTCCCCCAATAAAAACCTGTCACAATTACGTTATTCAAACTAAATATACATATGAATGTATGGGTTGTAGTTATAGTTTTGGGAGACATTCGAAATCGTTGAATTTAGAACGAAAGCGATGCGGGTATTGTTATGGAACTTTTAAAATATTGATCAATAAAACGAATAAAAATGGGGAGACTAAATCGGTGCCTGTTACTCCAAGTAATAAAACGACGCCGTTTGCTAATTTTGTTAAAGAAAATTATAAGCTTGTTAAAACGCAATCGCTTCAACATGGTGATGTTATGAAATTGTTGGGAAAACAATTTAAAGAGTTAAAAATGAAGGAGTAAATTTATTGATTTATTTTGATGACTATTTAGAATGTTTTAAGTAATCTTTTTATGAAACTACATTTACTGCAATTTTTTAATCAATTATATTATAAATATAATTAGTTAATTAACATATTTTAATTTGTTATTGTATAATATCCAGGTACAAACAATGGGACCATTTTATTGAGAATACCAACTGGATTTTGAATTATATAGAGATAATATCTTGGGTATTCAAAGATCTAGAATCTTCCAAAGCTGACGATTTCGTGTTGTTAATAAATTTGACTATATAATAAGTAGATAATAAATATATTATCTTAAATATATTATTTATTATATTAGTAAATATACCAAATCTAGCGCAAATCCCTGCCCGCAAGCGACCTTGGCAATTTGAAGCGAAATCGTCCCTTATAGAGGTGTTTTTTTAAGCCAGATAGAACTTACGAAAGGGTTAACTGTCAAACGAGCTCACTTTTTGACATTCATGATCAGTATACTTTGGCCTATAACTGGCAAGTCATCCATAGAAAAATTTATATATACAGGGTGGTTCAGTTTTTAATCGGGAAACTTTACTAGGACGTAGTACTTGCCAAAATAACACAAGTTTTTTATATAAACATAGGGTCGCAACTCTTTTGTTTTCGAGCTATGAGCGATCAAAGTTGAGCTAAAAATTTACATTTTATTATTTATTTCGGCTATAAGTAAACCGA